CTTAAAATCTTGACATTATTCTCAATCAATATCCCCCACAAAAATTATGCAAATTTGATTTTAAGTTAAAAAATATTTTGTTTTTAAGCATCAAAGAAAATACTAAGGCTACATTTCGATAAGCATTTAGAATTCTCAAAGTTGTGCAGCTTGTTAGTCAATCTTTCATATTTCATTTTCAATCAAAATATAATGATTAAAATTGGGATAAATTAAACCTAGTTAGTATTATAATTTTAGATAAAAGCTGTAAACAATTTAAAAGGATCTAACTGAATTTTTTTTTCTCCCAAGAAGCAAAATATTTAAGATCGTTCAATATTTTTGTATTGACTCTAAAATGAGTAGACACGTGATCTCTATTGAACGAAACTGCTAAAATGCGGAAACATTTTAGGGACAAACTTCCAAAAAATAAGGAAATAATATGAACAAATTAAAGTCTGCTATTTTGTTTTTAAGTTTATAGCTCTTATTTGTGTTTAATTTGTGAAATTTAACTCGTGTAGCTCACGCAAAACGAACATGCATAAATCTCAAAAATAAAGATTTAAAGTATTTGACACGGCCAAGCACTTGAAAGGTATCTGACTTATAAAGGGTGGTTTCGTGGAGGATTTACTAGAGCAATGTTTTTGTCTTATTACTACTTAAGAAGAAAACTTTTACGATGGCATGCGAATCGATTCGCGAGGGACTACCGTTGTACAGTGCATTTATCCATTCAGCCGTTGTTATAACCATAATGAACCTGAGAACGAAGCAAAATTTTTTATAAGTTCATAATTTGTATCACAGCTGATGTAATTTTTATCTGATGCCATATGTCGTTGAGCTTGAAATACTATTAGCAATAAAAAATTAAGCTTTCCATAAACCAAAATTTTGTCACGATTAGTTTTGAACTTTCGGACTAGTACATTATTTTACATCGCTACTTTATCACCTATCTATCACATAAATAAACATATATAGCATACTTTCTGTAGATAGATTATTTTTAATAGTTCATAAGAATTTTTAAAAACCTAACAGTTGTTTATTTGATAAATTTTTAAACTGCAGCTTTTTTAATGTAAGATAAGAAAGAAAGGCAGCTTTTTTCCCCTTGGCAAAAGGCACGAAATTAACATGGAATTAAAAAGTATTTCTTGTATGATGAGTGCTTTAGTAGAAAAATCTATTGTTCATGCACTTGTATAGTACATATTTGTACATTAATGCATATGCTGTCTATGAAAAAAGTATTAAAATTTATATCTATTGCCATTTTAATTTTAAATTAAGAATTTGATACAACTGCACGTGCAATGGAAGCACCTTATAAACCCTTCATCCAAAAAAATACTTACCCGCATAACCTGGCACGCTTATCGCCAGCATCAATGCTGTCTGAGAGTGCATGTCATTTACAATAATACCTGGAAACATTCAGCATCTATTTTCTCCAGTTCCATTTATCGCCTGTCCGCTTTTTCTTTACAGTGTAACAGGTACTGAAAAGAATTCTGAAAAGTTTAGGTCATATAATAGCGCTAAAGTCTTTCCAAGCTTAGACAGTTACACCACAGAGGTTAGATTTTAGTCCCTATCTGAATAACCCAGTATCGTCTTGGGCCTGCCTGATTATGAGACTATTATTACACTTATCATTACTTTCCCAGAATTATTATAAAATATTGGAGGAAATTAATAATTTTTATTCATGTAGTTATGTAATAAAATTTAACCGGAGATAATGATTGAAGAAGATAATGCCGATTATTATTTTTTCTTTGAATAACATGCAACTTGGGGGATTTCACTGATTATCCTAAAAATATGAACACAGTAATGCACCAGAAATGCCCAGCTTGAGCACTCGCTATTCAGTAATTTCAAACATTACATTTAATATTTGTAATGCGTTACAGTTGGCCACAAAGGGAGGACTAGAGGTTAGCAGTACAAAGGCAAACGTGAATACATCAAAAATTATGATAATGGATTCAAATTAAGAATGGTGAAGATATATTATGTCTCTGAGCAGGTTGACACAGTATCCCGAAGAAAAAATCGCTTAATTTACTAGTGGTTTTGATTTGAATAATGTTCCATACTATTGGATAAAAGACTTCAGTTTAATTTTGGCCGTTATGTAAATAAATATCCGTACTATTAACATTTTAGAATCATAAGAACAAATTCATTTTGAAACGACTCACTTCAAATAAATTTATTACAAACATTTAATTATTCTTAGAACAAAAAAGGGAGTAGTAAATTCTTAGAACAAAAAAGGGAGTTAAGAAATAGACTTAAGAAGGCCATTGCAATTAAAATTGTATATTAAAAAAATTATATATCTAAGAGAATTAAAACAAAGTAGGTATAAATACCGAAAAATGCTGAGATTATAATGCTCATTAAATGTGGGGAAATGCAGCCATAATAATGTGTAAAATATAGATTAAAGGAGATTAAAAAAATCTTTTAAAATATCTCGTAATAAAAACTAGATATAAAGAAAGCATCAAAGTGGCGAACAACAAAAATATTTCAAAATACGAAGTTTATTGCTCAGATTTGTTTATTGAGTAACAACAGGAAAGAAATATAAAAGAGTAAATTGTCTTAAGCCGGATAATGTCTTCTAAAAGGAAGAACATCATCTAACCTAAAGCCTGTCGGTTTTGTAAAAGTGTCACCGAATGAATTCAAAAGTTAAAATTAAATTACCCGACTTAATCCAACTTACATATATAAATTGTTTTCGTTGTTGTTCCCCTTACATAAATTTGCACAAGAAAATTCTCATTTTAGGATATTTTTGTAATTTTTGCTTTCTATTGAGCCCAAAAGGGCTCTTAATTTCGTATCGGCATTAAGCGTTGAAAACTTTAAATGTCGGTTCACTTTTCAAACTGTTGCCACCAAATATTACATACATGTAAAGAAATTAAAAATTATTCAAAGAAATTAAATAATGAAGAATCTGCATGAATGTATGTATGTTTCTCGCATTGTGATAAAACGACCGTACCTAGAACCATCCAATTTTGAATAACGTAAGTTTCCACCCGAATATGAGCATTTGGAAGCCCAAATTTTGAATTATTTTAATTATCTATTTCATATTTTGTAAACTTTAACGAATTTTTTATTATCAAGAGCAAAGATTTCAAGGCGAGCAATGGCACCTGTAGGGAGTAAAATATTTTTATCTCCAGCGCGCGAGACTGTGTATCGAAAATTCTAAAGATATGTTCATTTTAAAATTATTTTACTATGTTGCTGTTGAACTGAATTTTATGGTTGAAGTGCGAAGAACATGATGTTTAATAAATAAAAGATAACTCACAAAATGTTACAAAAAAAACGCACCTTTGGGTGTAATGTAAAATCTGAAAGCTTTCATACTTTTTTTATTATTATTATTTTATTTTTCTGCTTAGGATATGGGTTTGACACTTAGATACTTTGTTTGTTTATAGTTTTGATTATGAGGTGTTTCAAAATATTTTTAAACCTAGTTTTTATACATACACAGAAATTGTTAAGAATATTAATTATAGAAAATTATGTAAAATTGCTAAATATATGTATGTTAGCAATTTATATTTCTAAATATCAGTAGGGAAGAAGATTTTAATTTTCAGGGGTACTTAAAGTATTTATATTATTAATTCAGTGTCTCGGATAATTTTAAGCTCACAGAAACGGAATAAACCTTCCAGGAAAAAGGTGTATTATCGTGTGATGGTTTTTCTTCCTTTTGACAACGTAAGAGTGTGAAGATAATTTATACAGCTTCCATCTTTAGTAATTCATACTAGTATATTTTAATTTATTGATTTCTTATTTTATTTTGTATGAATTCTTTTGACTCCGCTTTTAATTTTAAAATTAAATTTTGAAAAAAAATTCTATTGACTCCATTTTTAATTTTCAGTATCATTAATTTGCTTAGAATGTTCTGTTGATTATTCTCTTAATTGTTTTTCTTTTGCCTGTTTAGTATTAATTTTAACGTAATCAATATTTACAAATTATATAAGTATACTTGTATATGCATACTATATGATATAACAAAATAATTGAGAGGGGAATTTTAGAAACTAGAAGTCACTAGAAACCAGTGCTAACATAGCTGTGATATTTATTTATAGTATATACAGAGTGTCCCGTAAATGTTGCGACAAACTTCTTGGGGAGGTAGGGTACATCATAAGGATTAAGAATTGCATAGAAACCCATGTCCAGGAATGTCAGGGGGTAAGTGGTAGCAGAGGTAGAAGATGGGAAAGGAAACAAGAGAGTGATTAATTTGAAACGCTTATTGGACATGAATACAAATGGTGTACGACAGCTTGAAAGTTACAACAGATGCTCGATGTTTGCATCATCAGACACCAAACATGCCTGACACCGACGGACCATTGATTGTCGGGCATGTTCAAACACACCACGAGTTTCTTTGATTGTAGCAGCTGCAGATCCATTTCAGGCACAACAGGATCGTGATACACGACACTTTTGATATCTCCCCACAAAAATAAATCAAGGCTCGATAAATCCGGTAAGCACGGGGGCCAGGGAACCGGGCTGCCACGCTCAGTGCATCGATGCGGGAATGATCTGTTCAAATGGCTATGAACATCCAGTCCAAAATGAGCAGGAGCCCATCATGTTGGAACCACATGTTCACAAGCTCTCCGTTCGTATAGCGTTCCATACTCTTCGTATGGTGCCTACCGCTCGAACAAGCCAATCCTTACTTTCCACTAGCACTCTCCTGTACAACACCGTCTGGCAGCATATATTGATGTTTCTGGACCATATATTGATGGTTCTGGAGCATATATTGATGTTCTGGTTCCTATGTAATTCTTAATCCTTATGATGTGCTCTAACTCCGCCAGAAGTTTGTCGCAACATTTACGGGAGACCCTATGTACATCTTAATGTAATTTTCTGAATTTTAAAGTATTATTTAGTAGGCATCCTTTTATTTCTTTCAGATATGTCTCAATACTGTTCTTGGTTTGCAATTTTCTGGATGAACTATTCGAATCGTGACGCAAAGGCGGTTTGTGTTTTCTAGGTAAGAATTTCTGTTCTTTGCAAATGATGCGTTAAGCTTATTTTTATTTTTCTATTATTTCTTTGGAAGAGTAATTTTATTCTGTGTGCTACTGTCGTACGAATATCGTACGTCGTTGTATATCCTGTTTCAGAAATGCTGCATGACTAAATATATTTTGAGAACTAACCAGTTCCATTTTAAAAAATTAATTAAATATGAGCTTTCAGATTACGTTAGTATCACATGAAATGTTTTAGTAAAAATATATGAAATTTAGATATTTATTCAGGGCTATTTATGATTTGGATTTTAAAAGTACTCAATATACATCTGGAATTGATAAAGACTTTCAAAAAGCATAACAGCATGTAAATATTTATGAAAGAAACTTTCATAAATATTTACATGTTTCAATTCTCCTGTCAGTGGCAGAGTAGATAGAACAGCTTTGAGCACTTCGTTCTAAATGGCAAGCTGTATAGATTTTGCAAGGCTCAGTAGATGTGCAACGCGTGTCTGTTAGTTCTCTTAAAGTCGTATCACACATTCAAAGCATTTCGGAAGAACAACTATTTAGTACAGTTTTTCTGCTTTACCACGTGATTTCTCCATTAATAATGATAGGTAATTGGCTGTGGAAAACGAACAACTTATAATTTTTGTGAAAGGAAGGAAAAAGTTGTGCCTTTTTCTTTGTGCTAAAGCAGCTGGAAAAATTGTTTGAAATAGTGTTCGTCCGAAAGAAATGAATGTGTGATAGCAGCCTTACGCACTTTCCGTTGAAAATAACGAATTATTTCAAACAATATTCTGCCATATTCGCAACTGAAAGAAAGGGGCGTTTCCTCCCTCTTCCATAAAATATTCCATATAATTCGTCTTTTAAATCAATTAGCTATTGACATCAAAGTTCCATCGCTTCGATTATTACGAAATAATTGTTTTCCTGTTTTCCTCTTGTTTCACGATGGTTTGGTGTTTAATATCATCAAAATGCAAAAGCCGAGCAAAAGATATGCTCTTCCCAACAATTTTATAAATGGTAACAGCTTTAGACTGATTTCCATAAAGACATCCATTACCTCAGGCAGACAGTCCTCAAGTGCTTTGCCATAACCATCCTGAAAGTTATGAATGCCGCCCAGACAGTATAACGGTAAGGGGAATCTGCTATGGTACCGAAGGGCGAGGCTTCGTATCCCGGAGAAGGCATAGATGTTTGTAAATGTCTTTGCGGTATGAAGGCACTCTAAATATGCGGCAAGCTGAAAGTCCTCTCGCGAGGTTGTGGGCTAAGAAGGATGGGAGACCCTTGGATACGTTCCCTGTGCTGCTCTCCATCAAAATTTGGTTGCGGAACTGAGTAAAGTCGTACTGCCACCTGTGTGGTACGCAATCTTGCTGTCCTTGCCACGATAAAGTTTGTCGACTCAGGCAAGTGAGATAAGTCACAATACAACAAAAGTTATGATGGTATTTTTGTACTTTTATTTATGGCAACATGTAGATGTGCTTCACTGCCCCAGATCGAAAATACTAAATAATCCGATCGCATTCTTCCTGAAAGTTTAGGCATTTTGCAGTCTCCTAACTGTTACTGTGAGCTTTATTTTAATTTTATTTCGTGCTTAAGAATTAAATTGAAACCATGAGCTTACGACTTAGCACTTAAATGATATTTAATCATGCAGATTTCTGAAATATTTCATATAAAGCACTGAATTCGCTAATTAACTAAACATCTAGAGAAGAAAAAATAAGTATAAATTAAGAAAGGGCTAAAACCTTATAAAGTGACTAGAAACTATCACTATTTTTGGCATAATTCTCTTGCTGTTTAAAATAATCTTCATTTTTATTTTCTTCAATAATCAATAAATCGTTATAATAGTTATCTGAAAATAGTATAAGCAAGTGCTAAAACCACAAGAGAAATCAAGGTAATAAATGCTATATAAATGCAATGTTTTATTAGTAGACCTAATAAAATATGCTAGTTCTCAGTGGCAATAGAATTACCTGTATTTGGGACCAGTTGAAAAGAAATAATAGAAAATATGAGTAATTTAATTTTTTAAATTACTCAGGTTATAATTAAATTCATTAAAAAGGCAAAAAATATTTTTGTAAGTATCGTGTTATTTTTATATACACTTACATATTATTCCATCGATCATGAAACTGCTGCTGCGAGATTTAGCAACAATTATGAATAAGCATGACATAATGTCTGCACTTTCGTTTATGTAACCTTGATTGGTTCTCTATGAGCCATCTTTTTCCTTTTATGAACAAGACTATAAACTAATTGTTATTTTTGCAATTTTTAAATTTTTTTTTGGGGGGGGGGAGGGGAAGGAAAAAGGTGGCGATCTGCCATCGCAAACTTTAGCCTCCCTCCCCAACAGGCCACCCAACAGGACAGGAAACAGTAGTTTACTTTCAAAGTTGTGGCCTCCTACCATTTAAAAAAGTTTATAGTAATAGACACGATGTGATTAACTGAATATTGCCGATGAAACAGAAATAGATTGGAAAAATTACCTGGGAGGAGTTTGTACTCATAGAATTCTAAACAGAGCTTCCGGTATAATGAAAGGACCTACTAAAATAGAATAATTCGACAAAAGAATTTTTATGAGCCCCGAAAACAAAGCGGGTCGAATGCTAATTGTTTGTTAAATAAAGTGGCGTCAATATTCCCTTAGAATTCCGCAGGAAAGATTAGCGCAACTTTCATTGCCCGATGTTAGCCAACTTTCACAATTGATGGGATAATACGTACGCGGCAATTTTATGTCTGTTTTCATTATTCTATTATGTCGTTTTTATTATTTCGTTTTTTGAAGTCTATGATGAAAAATAAAGCTTTTGGAATGCTACTAATATCGACTTTTAGATCAAAACTGTCAAAGAAAAGTTAACCAAATTGAGTGTTTGCGTACATCATTCCTATACTATTGCTTCCACTGTTTCATGAAATTTTAACAGTGCGCTAACATAGTCTGCATGTCGATACTTCATAATTATACTCTCAATCAGATACTCTCAATCAGATCAATCAGATTTTGTGATTGCTAAAATCATACTGATAAAGAAATTGTGTTAACCGAAAAGGAAAGTTGTAAATTACTGAGTAATCTAAAATGCAAAGAAGCGTTACTTGCATTTAGGAAGATATTTCATATTCAAGAATACAATGTGAACGTTTCACTCTATGAAACGAAAGCTATAGCGTTAATTGAGTCTTTGCTCAGCCGTGTATACCACACAGTGTCATAAATGTATATATTTTGTTTCACATTCCGTTGAAAATCGAACCAACTTCTTCTTCAGAATCTCATTCATACGATTAGTTTTTTTGGTAGAATGTTTAGAAAAATCTATCCAATATCGCTTCAGTTCCCAGTTCTATTGCAGTTGCCTACCCGAAACTCGGGAATATTTTACTCTACGTTATATTAAACTAGCTTGTCTTTAATTTGTTTTTGTTCGTGCCATGCGTATAAAGAAGTATAGCGAATAACAAACATTAAAGCCTGCACCGAGATGGTATTTCTCAACGAAATGGGTATCTTGACTAAAACAAATTTTTAGCGTTGCTGCTATTGCTTTCGAAACAATATAAAAGCGAATGAGGCTTGTGAAATTCTCACTAACTTTATGCCAGCTGCCAGCATTTACGATTTAACCATAAAAATGTTGAATCGCTTCGATCTGTTTTACGATTTCAGACTTCAGTCCTATTGGGAGTTTTAGTGGTTGCTTGATGCTGTTATAAAGCATGTTTGACGCGTAGTTATAAATGTTCAATTTCGAATTAATTTTTCGAACTTTCACAGCTGGTGGTATTTTAAGACTCGCGGGGATACTTTTAACGTAGCAAGGTAGACTGTATATAGTTGCGGAGTTACAGTGTCGGCATGTGATGATATGTGTGGCATGTAGTACTTTTTCAGAAGCTGTTTGGAAACAAGATTAGATCCAATCACTTTTTTAACGAGCTCTGTGTTTTATAACCCCTTTCCACAAAACGTTTATTAACATAAAGAAATTAACGATTTTTTAAACAATATTAAGATTTTTTTTTCAAATCTTTGTAATGCCTGTAAGCCTCACTCTTATGTATTACCTTTAGGCTCTTTAGCTAACTGATCAGGTCACACACATTTTCATCCATTTGAAATGTTTAAAATCTTACATTCTGCTTTTAGAATATATATAAATTTTTCTGAAGATTCAATGCAGCTAATCTTTGCTGGAGTACACTTGAAGCTTTAATAGCATTATACATATTGTTACGAAATGCCCAGCTGCGGTAAGATACAAAATTCGCGATATGCCATGGACGGAGCGAGAACATTTCAAAACGAATTCTTACCAGTCTGCCGCAGAATATTCTCTAAAGCAGGTCAGAAAAGCTATATAAACCTTGCTCTGTACGTGGACTAATAGTTTATCGTCAGTGTACCGTCAGTTTTATCGCGAAGAGTATCTTGAGCTCCGAGAGCGATCGACCGAATCGGGAGCTGTATTTAATATTTTGCGTTAAGCTGTCTTCACCATTATAACCTGACAGTCTGAAGGTTTGTGTTAATGATTGTTTCAGCGTGTTTATCGTAGTTTTTCGACCATTGTAACGCGTCTTTGGAACTGTCCTGTGAAATATTGACGAATAGCGTTTTGATTTTTTTATCAAGTGTTGTCATCAATCACTCCAAATCCACGAGCGCGTAGAACGCAACAACATTAAAGATTTCTTTTACTATCTGCTACTATATCTGATTTCTTGATGTGATCAGTAATGATTCGCGAGATTTATTTTAAGTTAAAACTAAGTGTTAATAAATATTTAGTTAGGCTCCATGTTTTCCGCTCTGAATTTTTAGTATCTAAACTAAATCAGTAGCGCAACAGCCCTAGTGGGCCTCGGCCTGCAGTGCCCTTTTTCTGCTTTCATGACCTTTGGGCCTTGGAATACATCAGCATATGCAGTGAACAAGTGTCAGCTTGTCGCA